TAAACGCTGATCTGAAGGAAATTGAAGCGAAGGAAGCTCAACTAGAAGAGGAAGATATCTAAAACTCTATCCTCTTGTTGCTTTAAATATCTTTCATTAATAAGATATCCTGCTTGCCTCTATTTTGCATGGCAACTTCACATAGCTGCATTCTGTTTATTTTATGCTCTGATATATGTTATTTCTTATTTTGCTTATCTGATTGATTGTATCTTACTCTTACTATTTTCCTATGCCAAGTGCCCACCAAGATTCTAAATAAAAGTTTATTTTTAACTTATTTTCCTTCATGGTGGAAGGCACTTCTCTGGAAATAGTTTAAGGGTTTTTGGCATCATCAAAAAGGGGGAAATTGTAAGGAATAAATGTAATTAGATTTTGATGATGCTAGGTTATTTAGATTAGAATTTTAAAGTACCCCCAAATTAGACTTCATGTATTAGTACTTTCTGATGTAAGTATTAGTATAATCGACTATCAGAGTTGCTATGTGGATCTGATCAGAGCCGCTATATGAGAACTGGTTTCAGAGTCGCTCTCGGAAATCATGAGAGTTGCGCATCAGAGAACCATCAGTATTGCTCTTCGGAGACTCGTCAGAAGTCTACATCAAAAAGACATCAGAGTTCGATGAAAAAGCTTCATCAGAATCCAACTCCAGAGAAGTATCAGAGTTCCTCATATAAGTCCATCAGAATCCAAGATCAGAATGTCATCAGAGAAGCTCATCAGACTCCGCTTTACACTTGGAAGATTTCGAAGCTGTCCTCAACGGCCGGGAAATCCTTTAACGGCTAGGAGATATTTCATCCAAGGAAAGCATTCAATGCTCATTTAATAAGACTGATACGCTGTGGAGTAATTGCAGATGATTGACCGAGAATCCTGGAGAATATTATACAAAAATGGAAACCTGCCAAAACTGCGGGTCCAACTGGTCAAATCCACAGTACGCGCATTTAATGCAGTTGTCTCCTCCTCCAACGGGCAGACAACCCAAGTATATAAGCTACTCACCGAAGAATAGGAAAACAACTTTTGCCACAACTTTTTGCTCTGAACTTCATACAACAAGCATTCTTGAGACTCAAAATCTACAACACAAAAACAAGAAAAAGCTTACGTCGGGAAGATACAACCTCACAATCTTTCACCCCCAACAAGAGCAAAGTTCATCCTGTTCTTCAACTCTTCAAGAACTTCATCAAACATCATTTGTGACGAAGCAAGTTGGAGGAAAAACCTTGTTTTTCAAAGGATCTTCTGAAAAGAAGGGCGTCCAAGTAACTGCAGTAGTGAAGTGGTGATACTTCCGGGAAGCTGAGTGAAAGGACCAGCCATCAGGACGTGGAATTGCATCCTGGGTGGCAGCTAGGCTTGAAGAAGGCGTGGAGAACTTCTTAAGTGCTAGGAACTAAGCTTTGTAACCGATCTACTTCAAAGCTAGTGGAACAGTGGACTAGAGGAACGCGTTGTTCCTTGAACCACTATAAAAATATCCGGTGTCATTTACTTTACTGCAATTTATATTTCTGCACTTAGGACATTAACTGATTAACTCTAAGACTTGGAATCTGTGTTCAGCAGATCTTGTTTTCAGAGTTATCAGAAAGGCATTTGCCTTAGTGTTTCTGAGGCTACCCGGACAGATCAGAATCCGCTGCCAAGGCCAGTTCTGATATCAGAACCAGCCTTCCTCTGTTACCAGAGTAAGACCTTCTCTGATAAGTCAGTTTGGACTTAGAGAAAAATTGAAAAACCCATCAGTCTATTCACCCCCCCCTCTAGACTGATTACTATTTAATCGGGACCAACAGTAACCACTTTTTTTAATGTTCACAGCCTCCGATTGTAGATGCTCTTAGTCCCTTCCCTTTTGTCAGGTGCCACCCCATCCCTACCTCCCATGTTGCCATGTGACATGTCATTTCATTTTTTCTTTGAATTGTTATACTTTTTCATTCATTATCCAATTTTTGTAAAATATATTAGATTTAATAATATTTTAAGATCTTTTCAATTGTATCACTTTTATATATAATTTTTTAAAAAAAAATATCGTTCTTTAGAAGTAGTTAGTAATCAATTAAACAAGCGTTTGTTAGGTCTTATGATGTTTTTACTTGACTGTTTTCAGTTCCAGACCAAACATGGATAGTTATAAAATACATAGAAATCAGTCATTTACTAGACCAGTTGAGACCATACCAGAAAATTCAGTCACCTTTAGCTGTTCATATTATTCAACATTTGTATTAGTTAATATTCATATGATTTAATATTCATATCATCATGTACTTACCCATACAAATATTTGTATTATTATTATTATTATTATTATTACGGTTAGAGTAAATTTCACTTTTGATCGTAGGAGTATCACATTAATTCCATAATTGATCCACGTCTTTGACTTTGATAACTTTTTGTACTTGACTATTGTTTTGCGTGCATATATTGTCATTCCGTTGATATCTCCGGTGGTTAAAATCGCTGGAGAGGCATCAAATTGTTCGACAGAAAGATCACAATTGATAAATAAACATTAATCAAGTACCAAAAGTGGACATAATGATTGACGCGGACTAAATGTGGAATTGACTCATAGGATCAAAATTGAAATTAATTCAGTGTAGTTATATCATTATTCATATTATTGGCATATCGAAATGGGGCTTTTGTCGTGAGAAGGTTGCTGCTCGACCCAGGGAGCGCTATCGTGCTGAGGCAGTGACTCCCCCGTGAGGCAGTGAGTATTTTTTTCTGGCTTGTCGAGAGCTAGGTTTTCTCTTGCATGTCAAGAGCGGTGCAATGCCACACTTCTACGGCTCCATTTTTATTTTGCATTATGATTGAGTGCAGGTTCAATGAAGGATAACCATGTTTCTATGGATGATCTACAACAGCGTTGTCTCATTCCAACAATTAAGGAGGAGGTCGAAGGGTTAGTTTTTGGTGGATCAATTTAGTTTTTGGTCCGTGACTAGTTTAGTCACGGACTAGTCACGGAAATTTAAAAAAAAAAATAGTCACGGTCTGGACCGTGACTATGGCCGTGACTACAATTAGTCACGGTCGTGGCCCGTGACTTAAGTCCTCCGATAGGCCCGTTTCCGTTTCCGGCGAAGTTTATTTGATTCCGACGACTTAGTCACGGCCACATCCGTGACTATACCCGTGACTATGATTAAAATTTAATTTTTCATTTTCCATAAATTAATTCGCAACGGTGTTATGTACGGATAACTTTTAGTCACGGACATGGCCGTGACTATGTCCGTGACTACTTTGATTAACACGTCATTTACACGTCATTAACACGGGTTGGACGCGTAATGGACACGGTTTTGCTTAGTGACGGACAAATCCGTGACTAAGTCCGTGACTAAATTTTTTATATATGCAGGAGCAGCTCATTCAACAGAACCACACTAATTCATTCCCAGTATATATACAGTATCTGTTTGAAAGATCGAAGGATGTAGTCTATCTTCTATCATTTTCCCTGTTTATGCAGATAAGGTATGTTATTTGAATTATAATTTTTATTTAGAATTAGTTGGTTCAATTTAAATTATTAAAACTATTAAATTAGTGAGGTTGTTAATTAATGAACAACATGTTTTAACTATAAGCGTAGTAATGTCATAAATTAGAATTAGTTAAACTTTTAGGTTTATAAAATAATTTAATTAAAATTAGTTAGCTAAATGTAGTTTAAAACGTAATGATGTTTATGTTAAGTGAAATTAGTTCAAATAACGTATGTTAGTAATGTGTTAATTAAGTGAATTGTGAATTGTTATTGTGAATTGTGTATTGCTTATTAATTCAAATGACTTTATATACATGTTCAAATTATTGGGTTGAATTTGGTCATATTATTTAATTTAGTGAATTGTTAATTGTGTATTACTAATAAGATTAAATGTCATTAACGTAATAATTTAGTGTAGGTTTAAACGTAGGTTTACAAAAATAATTTAATTAAAATTCGTTAGCTAAACGTAGGTTTGAACGTAGCTATTGATGAGTTAATTAAGTTAAATTAGTTAGCTAAACGTAGGTTTAAACTGTCTAAACTGTATTACCTCCCAATAGCTCCTCGACTGCAAAGGATGTACGCTTCGACTGCTACTGCGAAACACATGACATGGCATGTTGAGCACGAAACCAACGAGGGTATGATGGCTCACCCTTCGGACTGTGAAGCCTGGAGACACTTTGACCGCTGTCATCCTCAGTTTGCTATGGAGCCACGAAATGTGCGGCTGGGATTGTGTTCAGATGGATTTGCTCCTTTTGGCAGGTTTGGCAAGAACTATTCATGTTGGCCGGTCATGTTAACTCCTTACAATCTCCCTCCCGACATGTGCATGAAAAGTCATTTCATCTTTTTGTCTTTAATTTGTCCGGGTTCCAAGGATCCTGGGCGAAAGATAGACATTTATCTTCAACCCCTTATTGAGGAGATGAAAGAACTGTGGGCCGTTGGGACACCAACTTATGATGTTTCATCAGATAAAATGTTTATCATGAAAGCTACCATCATTTGGACCATTAGCAACTTCCCTGCCTATGGCATGCTTTCGGGATGGAGCACACACGGTCTGATGGGATGTCTGATATGCATGGAGAAATCAGGTGCCAACTGGCTCAGTTACAGCAAAAAAGGAAGTTACTTTGATTGTCACCGCAAGTTTCTCCCGGAAAGGCACCGATATCGAAAGGACAAGAAGTCTTTCATTAGAGGCAGAGCGGTACGAGAGAGCCCACCCCCGAGAATGACCGGTGAAGAAATTTATAACCGGGTTCGACGTTTTCCTACAGCTATGGAAGAGCCAAACCAAGAGCCATATGGGTATTGTGATACCCATAAGTGGACAAAGAGGAGCATATTTTGGGAGTTGCCTTATTGGAAAGACCTTCTCATCCGCCACAATTTAGATGTCATGCACACTGAGAAGAACGTCTTTGACAATATATTTAACACGGTGATGGATTTGAAAGGCAAAACTAAAGACGGTCTTGCAGCTAGGAAAGATATGACTATTTGGTGTGATAGACCCGAACTTTCTGTTGATCTAGAATATCAGGGCAAGGAAGTTCCAAAAGCAGTCTACCAGGTCACAGAACCACAAAAGGCAGCAATATTACAATGGCTTGCGTCTCAGAAGTTTCCAGATGGCTACTGCTCCAACTTGTCTAGATGCGTAGACATGAACAAACTTACCACGACGGCGAGCATGAAAACTCACGATGCTCATGTAATAATGCAAAGACTTCTACCAATTGCACTAAAAGAGATGCTCCCTGAACACGTATGGTCCTGCATTACTGAAATCAGTTTGTTGTTTCAATCGATATGTTCCAGCGTTTTGGATGCGGCATCCCTCCGGAGACTACAAGAGTCTGTTCCCATTCTGATGTGTAATCTGGAAAAAATAATGCCTCCATCGTTTTTCGATACAATGGAACATCTCATAATACATCTTCCGTATGAAGCTTTGACTGCCGGGCCCGTCTTCTATCGGTGGATGTACAGATTTGAAAGGTTAGTCAGAATTTCATTTAAAAAAAGAATATTTATTTCACAATAACTGTTAACATGTGTATTATTGCATTATTGCAGATTTCTAGGAGAGCTGAAAAAGAAAGTGACCAACAAGGCACACGTTGAGGCTTCAATTTGTCAAGCGTATCTTCAACAAGAAATCTCAACGTTCTCGTCTTTTTACTTCGAGCGTGACGTCATCACCAGAAGGAAGAGACCTGCCCGGAACGATGACATTGGCGAGGATTTATATGAAAATGTAGTTTCCATCTTCAATTACCCAGGCAGAGGTAAAGGTGCTGCGACACAACGATACATCCCGAGCTTCTTTATCAGCCTTTCCTGAGAATGAAATTGATGCGTTGGTGGACTCTGATTTTGTAAATTGGTACAAGTATCAGGTATATATATACACACATTAATTATATATATTATTAAGTAAGATTTTTCAATATTTACCTAATGTTATTATTATGTTTATATTTACAGATCAATAGTCGTGGGATTGTCGACCCTTTGTTAGTATCATTAGCGTGGGGCCCAAGTGCCAGTGCCAAAGTGTGGCGGCAATATGTGATAAACGGTTACACATATCACACAGCCGATTACGGACAGGGCCGACCAACAACGAACAACGGGTTATGTGTCCCGACCATCGGTTATGATAACTCGGAAACCAATTTTTTTGGTGTCCTGCAGGAGATTCTGGAACTTGAGATGTCTTCTGGTGCGCAAAAAATGACATGCGTTCTGTTCCGCTACACATGGGTCGATCCCACACGTGGCGTGCGCAACAATCCGAAGTATAATATGATTGACGTCAACCACTCTCGTGTGTACCCGAAAAATGAGCCTTTCATACTCGCCCAACAAGCAGCGCAGATTTATTATGCAGAATATCCTTCAACAAGGCGGACCCAGAATCCTTGGGTGTGTGCATGTCCTGTCCGTCCGAACAAAATTAAATCACAAACTCAACACAAGGACGTTGATCTAGATGCTTTTCAGCAACAATTTTTCCAACCTCCGCCTATTGTTGAGACGGTCAACTATAACGTCCAATTAAGTGATCCAAATGGCGGACGTGTTGAAGTCATGCCAGAAACGCACCTTCCGGACCTAACCATTCCATCTGAGCGCGAAATTGAGGAAATGTATGTAGCACAACAAAATGCTCAATATCAGGAAGAAGGTGAATGGATAGACGGTTCAGATACAGAAGAAGACACTATATATGTAGAAAATAACGATTCTGACAGCGAGTAATTGTGCTGTTGTAATTTCAATTTTGTGATATAATTTCTCCAAGCATATTTGATAATTTCCTTCATCATTATTGTTTGTAAAATAATTACTCCTTAATCTGTTCTATACCACATAAATTCAAAGCAGTTTATTTAATACTCCACAGTCCACACTACAATTACCATGGTATTAATAATTATTCATATAATTACAATAATAATAATAATAATAATAATAATAATGTTAATAATTATATTAACATTATTTATAATATTATAATAGTAATATAAACACAATTAATATTATTATAACGATATAATAATAATAATAAGAATAAGAATAATAATAATAATTATTATTAATAATAATAAATCATGTCTGAATTTTTCTGATCTGATCTGATTTGAATAAAATAAGAATAAACAATAAGTAATAACTAACACAAAGACGAACAGAACAGCACCTTATTCATTTTTCGGTTCAATAAGCTGTGTACATAGTTTCAGACGACACATTCTTGTACGCATCATATCTCAGTCAATTGGTTCTTTATTAGTCATTTTTTAGCATAAAATGCTTGGTCGCAGGAAAATGAACTTATAAATTTAATAGTCACGGTTGTAGTCACGGTCAGGACCGTGACTACACCCTTCGTAAATGCCGAAGTCAGGGTCGACGGTCAGAGCGGCGCTGACCACAATAGTCACGGTCAGTGCCGTGATTATGACCGTGACTACTTTCAAATTTTGAAAACAGTCACGGTTATAGTCACGGCATTGACCGTGACTATTCCGGTCAAAGGCGGCTCTGACCGCCTCGCTGACATCGTCAATTACGAAGGGTTTAGTCACGGTCAGGACCGTGACTATGACCGTGACTAAACAATTATATAAAACAAACACTTTGCGTTTTTAATCATCCCTACGCACCCAAACTCCCAAACCCTAAACTACATCTCCCTTCTCTCTTCCCTCTCTTCCAGTTCGATAGTGCCACCTAGCCGCCCGCCGTCGCCGCCTAGCTGCCGCCGTCGCCGCCTAGCCGTCCACCGTCGTCCTCCGACCGCCTTCGTCCGCCTGCTTCTGTCGGCCCTTCTTATCTCAGTCAAGGTTATGTGTTCTTTTCATCTTATTTTGTAATATTTGATTAAAATTCCAAAAATGCATAATTGTATACTCAAATGCATGATAAGATGCATGATTTTTAGTTTCATATCATTTTGTAATGTTCAAAAGTTGTATGTATGATTTATTATATGCATGATTTGTAGTTTTGCATGATAATTTCGTTTTATATGTTTGGTATGCATGATAATTATGTTTAAATGATTTAGATTATTTTATGTTTAATATATGTTCATATGCATGATTAAAGTACTTAATAAACTGTTTTTCAAAATGGTAAATTTAAAAAATTTAATTTCTAAATGTAATTTATGAAAATATTTAAACAAACTTATTAAATAAACTGTCTTTATTTTCTTGTTCATATATATTATATTCTTTTTTTATTTATACCTTGCTCAATATATTTTCGAACTAATGCATGCTTATACAATTAGTATGATGTTTAATATATATGTTTAGTGTTTGATTTGCATGCCTCTCTATACATATGCATTACTTTAAATATAATTTCCGAAAATATTTAATTTAGGTTAATATTTAAAAAAACTGTTTAAATAAATAGCCCCTCGTGTTAAACTTCCAAAAATAGTTTAACACGTTTAATTATAATTTCCGTAATATCCATTAACAAAATATTAAACATTTAAATTTAATCCCGAAAAAAATATATGTAAACTGTTTGAAAAACTGTTGTAATGATTTATATAAACTGTTTTAATGATTTATCTAAAAACACTGTTTTATAAAAACTGGATGAAACACTGTTTTTTATACGGAGTAATAGTTTAAGCATAAAAATTGTTTTTATTTTTTATATTATAAACTGTTATATTATAAACTGTTTTTAGATAAACTGTTTTTCCAAAAACTGTTTTAATACAAACTGTTTTTATATAAACTGTTTTTATAATTTATCTAAAAAAAACTGTTTTTATAAAAACTGCTTTTATAAAAACTGTTATAAAAACTGTTTTAATAAAAACTGTTTTTATAAAAACTGTTTTTTACAAAAATCTGTTTAATCAAACAGTTTTTATAAAAACTATTTTTTACAAAAATCTGTTTAATAAAACAGTTTTTCATTAACAGTTTTTATAAAAACAGTTTTTATAAAAACAGTTTTTAAAAACAGTTTTTAAAACAGTTTTTATTAAAACAGTTTTTATTAAAACAGTTTTTAAAAAACAGTTTTTATAAAAACTGTTTTAATAAAAACTGTTTTTATAAAAACTGTTTTTTAAAAACTGTTTTAATAAAAACTGTTTTAATAAAAACTGTTTTAAAAACTGTTTTATTAAACAGATTATTGTAAAAAATAGTTTTTTTGTAAAAACTGATTTAACAAACTGTTTTAAATTTATTTTAAACTGATATATCAAAAACATAAAAAAATGATCTCCTCTCATGTAAACTTTGCAAAAAGTTTAACATGTTACCTCCAAGGGCAATTTATTACCAAATTATAGAAGAACTTATTATGAAAAAATATGGACCCCTCATATTAAACTAATAGATAGTTTAATATGCTATACACATTTTCAATTGATAATACTTGTATAAATTTTTATAGTGAAAAATAATAAAAATACCCCAAACTTTGAAAGGGTGTGAGGTAAGCACCCCAAACTTGCATAAGTAATTTAAACACCCCAAACTTTATATGAAGTTTGGGATATTTAAATTACATATGCAAGTTTGTGGTGTTCTTGTCACACCCCTTCAAAGTTTGGGGTATTTTTATTATTTTTCCCTATAAAAATTTAATAAACTGTGTATAAGTTTAATATGAGTGGTTCAATAATTTCTAATAAACTCATCCTATAATTTATCAATGAGTTGACCCAGTCGATCGAAGAATCGATCAATTGGAGCTTGTCAATGAGTTGACCTAGTCAATTCTTAGATAAGCTCCAATCTGTCGATTCTTCTGGCTACGGCTTGAGTCATCGATGGACTCTCCCAAGCGCATGTACTGACATTATGTCGCTACATGTGATGTAGCCCATCCATGGTTCAAGGCGTAGCCCGAAGAATCGTCAGGATGGAGTTTATCAATGAATCGACTAGGTCAACTCATTGATAAGCTCCAACCGGTTGATTTTTCGGTCGACTGTGTCAACTCCTTGATAATTATAGTATTTACTTATTAGCAATTATTGGACCCTGATATTAAACTTATACCCAGTTTAATATGTTATATACATTGACAATTGATAATACTTACATAAAAATTTGATCTTCTATTATAAGCGTTCTAACAAAAAACAAAATAAATTAATATATTTTAGATGAGCAACGAACAATCGACCTCGGCTCCGCGCCCTAACTATGCGCCCATGTCCGAAGCGGAGCGCAACAACGAAGGAGCTGTTTGGGTGACCCCTGCAGAAGTTGCTTTGTAAGTAGTTATGACGAAACCTTATTTTCAATAATTTTATATAATGTTAAATAATCTAACCAAATCTTATATAAATAAATACTATTAATTTTTTTAAGTGACGATGAAGTGTTCAAAGGCATCAAAAACATAATCGGAGGACACTTTCTTGGCACTTGGGCCACGTACTCGGATGTTGACCCCAAGGTCCGCGAACTATGGTGGAACCTGTTCAAGGTAAAAATAAATGAATGTTCCCTCCCTAATTGTATTGGCCTAATATATACCTAGTGATTAATTAATCCAATTTGTTTTAATAAAGGGTCGCTATCGTTGGACTCACGCAAACGGTGCCGATATTCTTAGAGCCTACAATGCTAGGATTTCGACCTGGCTTCGCGCCACTTTTAAGCGTGCCCGAAAAAGTGCGAAAAAGCCTAAATGAGTTTCGGATGAAGTGTGGTCCAACCTTTGTCGCCACTGGTCTTCTGATCCGAAATTCTTGGCCAGAAGTGAATCCGGTAAGAAAAACCGGATGTCCGAGAAGGCCTTGGA